GTTGACTCTTCCCTTCTCCTGTGCCCTCTTCTCCTGGATGCCCAAAGGGTGACCTCCCTCATGTCCTTGCAGTCTTTGTTCAGTTGTCACTTTCTCAGTGATGAATTCTCTCTCTGCCCTTTTGTTTTTTGCAGTCCTATTATTCTGGCAGTTCCGTCTTTTCTTCCATGATGCTTTCCACCATCTGACGCACTGCAGGACTTACTGCTTGGTATATTTCTCCACATTCCCCTCAGTAGAAACTCTCCTCTAAGGGGGAGAAATGTTGGTCTGTCTTGTTCACTGCTGCACCTTCACAACTCAGATGAATGCCTATGTAGCAGGTGCTCAATAAACATTTGTTCACTGAATAATGTGATTGAATAAACAGCATGTTCCTACCTCTCACGGGGTGTGTGTCGGTTTCCTAGGGTTGCCCTAACAAAGTATAACGAACTGTGTGGTTGAAAATAGCAGAAATGTACTTTCTCAGTTCTGGAGGCCAGAAGTCCAAAGTCCAGGAGTGAAAGGGCCACGATCCCTCTGAAACCTGGAGTGGGGATCTCTCCCTGTCCCTCCTTAGCTTCTGGTGGTTTCTGGCCACCCTTGGTGTTCTTTGGCTGGCAGCTGCCATCATTCCAGCCTCTATTGTCACAGAGTGTGCTCCTTACACAGCTCTGTCTCCACACATGATGGTTTCTCTTTTCCTTTCCTTTTTTTTTTTTTTTAAAAAAAAAGAATACTAGACCTATTGGATGGGAGGCCTACCCTACTCCAGTATCCTCATCTGAATTTAAATAATGACGTCTACAACAACCTCATTTCCAAGTCAAGTCACACTCTGAGGTCCTGGGGGTCAGGACTTATGTATACGGGGAAGGACCTAGTTCAACCTATAAGAGGATCTTTTCAGTCCTTCTCTATAATTGCAGTACTCAGGTTATTATTACCCCAATTAATTATAAATCTTCTGATGGAAAATATCACTTGTATATCTGAAAGGCTAAAACCGGCTCTCAGGCTGGATGTGATCTGCCTTGCAGTACTGGCTGTGCAGAGCTCTGAAATTTTTTTGTTAGTTTGTGAACATTTAAAGGCTGGGAAACTCCACCTACAGATCTGGATTTCTGGCCTCTGTAACAAATCAGAATGTCTGGTCACGTGAGTCTACATTACACCATTTCCTCATCCTGGAGCCTAGCAGGGGCTTCCCCTCAGACCAGGCTGTGTCCTTCTCACCCCAGCTACACCTCTCCCTGTGCTGCCCCGACCCGGGGGCTGGGGTCAGCTGCCCCTTGTCACCCAGCCAGCTTCACTGATTTCCATTAGCTGCCAGCTCTTGCAGATGTCTGAGCTGCTGCCTCCAAGCACCCAGAAAACATGGAAGAAACAAGGTGATGGTGGGGAAGTGGAGTGTGGGTGGGGCTTCCCCCTTTCCTTTTAACATAGGCTTTTGAACCTTCCTCCATCAAACTTTGATCTGTGCTGCTGCCCCGAAGGGCCCAGAGGCAAGCTCTCCGGCTGCCTCTTGCTCACATCCTCGGCAGCTGGTCACCTGGGGCTCTGTAGACACTTTCTTCACTTCACCTCCGTCCCAGCACGATCTTCGTTCATACTCCCTCACTGGCCACTCCTGTTTCTTTTGCTGGTTTCTCCTCCTCCCTTAGTCCTTGCATGGCCTGGTCCTCCATATTCTCACCTCCTGGTCCTCCCTCATTTAGTCCTGTGACTTCAAATACCACTGTACACACTGACAGCTCCCAAAGACTTGCCTTTGGACTTAAAATCAGCACACTACAGTGAGGCAGCCACATCAATGTTTATAGCAGCTCAACTCACAATAGCCAAACTATGGAACCATCCTAGATGCCCTTCAACAGATGAATGGATAGAGAAAATATGGTATCACAATGGAGTATTACCCAGCCTTAAAGAAGAATGAAATTATGGCAATTGCCAGTAAATGAATGGAGCTGGAGAATATCATGCTAAGCAAAATAAGCCAATCCGGAACAACCACAGGCTGATTCTCTGATATGTGGATGCTAATTCACAATGGGGGTTGGTGGCTAGGGAAGAAAAAGGTACTTTGGATTAGACAGAGGTGAGTGAAGGGAAGGGAGGGGATTTGGGAGTGGAAAGGACAGTGGAATGAATTTGACATTATTACCCCATGTGCATATACAATTACACAACCAGTATAATTCTACTTTATGTATAAACAGAAGAATGAGAAGTTATATTCCATTTATGTTAGATATGTCAAAATGCATTCTACTATCATGTATGACTAATTAGAAAAAACAAACAAAAAAGAGACCTGCCTTTGGCTGGTAAGATCTTCTGAACCCCCATCTTCTACATGTATCTCTGCTTGGCTGTATTTAAAGGACTATCATATGTCACAGTGGAAAAGCAAACTCTTGGTTCCAACCTACAAAGCTTCTCTCCCAGGGTTCAACCTGGCAATAAATATCAGATTCATTATTCCAGTTGTTCAGGTGAAGAAATTGAGAAACACCCTTCATTGTGTTTCTCTCCTATAACCTCATTGTGTCCTTGGTAATGGTCAGTGTTCTGTGTCCACTTGCCTGGGTCAGGGTGCCCAGTCATTGGATGAAACACCAATCTAGATGTCTTTTGATGGAGTTGCTTCTTAATAAACTCATTGTAAGGTGGTGATGGCCTAAGCTGGGCGGGAGGTGTGGCTCCGTGGTAGTGTTTGCCCTAGCATGTTTGAGCCCTGGGTCTGCTCTTCAGCACTGGAAACAAAACAAAACAACAAGAACTACAAGAACAAAACACTTAGGGAGGACAGAAAGAAAAAAGAAAATATTGTAAGTAAAAAATACATTTTGAATTTACTGAACATCCAACTCCACCACACAGAGCACCGTAGAGTCTTGGTGTTGACTTGTTGCCCCAGAGCTGACTGGGAACTGTGGCTCACTGCTGCCACCCAACATCAGAGGTATCACAGTGTGGCCAGCTGCTGCCTCCTCTGACGTCATCTCTTTATCCTTCCTCACTTGTTCTTCCTTAGTCATGCCCAATAAGTTCCTGCCTCAGGGCCTTTGCTCCCATGGCTCTCTCTTTTCCTATAAATTGCTTCATTCTAATAAGCTTATCTGAGGTACTCAGGAGCAGAACAGCACTAATTTCTTGCATCTCAAGGGAAGCAGTGGCTTTGAATAGACTATTCACTTCAGACTTATCAAAATCCATATCTCAACCAGTTGCTTTATGGTGTCATCTATAGCAGTTGTCCAGAGATCCTTCCAATAATTGGTCTTGATCATTTATAGTTTCTGATTGTTGGTGCTCCAATGTAATAGTGGTGTGCAGATAAATTAAGGGTAAAATTATAAGTCTGAGTATATGTTTAGATATGCAAGTTAGATCGTGGCTTCTTCTTTTCACTAACTGATTCTCATGTAGCTCCCAAAGTTTTGAGTGAATGCCTTTGCAAACTCACACTTGGCCTTTTATCTTGGGCCCAAGAAAACATGCTAATTCATCCTGTGCTTTGGTGAGGGAAGGGCACAGGACACATTGTAGGAAATGGATACTTTAGATAGATGTGCACAGAGAAAATGTCCACCACAGTGGGAGCGTGATCAAGTGGCCATGTACTCCTGAGTCCCCTGCCCCACTCCAGCCCTCCTCTCCTGGTCCTGCTGTTAGTAGTCAGCTGGCTTCAGAGGTCTCAGTATCAGATCACCGAGTCCTTCCTCACTGTGTATCCTTAGCTGAGGGAGGAGCCCACATATCAGAAAGTTGCTGTTCCTGGGTGATGGAATTAACCAGTGCTGGCTCAGGTCCTGACTCTGACATTTACAATAGGCGGTGGGTGACGAGGGAGGTCGGACAGGTTAATATGCCCCTCTTCACCCATTGCCAACTTACCAAGAGGAAATGATATTGCTTAAATTATGGCGCTGCTATGGTGTTTAAGTAAATGCATACTGAGTGCCTAACTCACGGGAAGCATTCCATACCTGTGACTTATATAGCGGAACTTCAGAGGCACACTGGAGACCAGGGTCCGGGCTGAGCAGGTGTGTGCTGTGCTCACTCCAGTGAGATAGATAGCAAGCCTGACCTTCACATGGTCACCCCAGCACTCCTCCCAGAATATAAGCCTGACCAGGCCCCTGTCCTCTTTAAAACGCCTTGAGCTGACACAAGTCTCAAAAAGCCTCCAAGCCAAGCTGTCAGGACCCTGCCTCCTCCCCACGCACGCCTCCTCATCTTTGGACGGCTCACCATGGACTTTTGCTTTAGGCATGAAAGGCCCATTGATTGAACAGTGATCCTTGGGCTTGGCTGTTAGGTCATCGTGCCTCCGTGTAACTGTAGGCACTCAGTTGTGTCTTTTCCTTCGAAAGATCTCATGGGAGAGTCTCCGAAATTCAGCCACCCTGCATCAGTTGCATTCCCCAGCTTCCCTGCCAAATCTGGAAAGAGATTAGTTTGGTGGGGTGAGGGTTCATACATATCCATAGTCTTAAATGAGTGTGGTCCTCCATCTCCTCACCTGTAACGTGCTGCATCAGGTGATTTGGGAGACAGCTGGGGGTTTGCACATTCACGGGTGCTTACCAAGGAGGAGCTGGCACACTGACACTGTGAGGTACTGCACCCACAGCTCCAGCATTATCAGATCGCCAAGGGAGGCTTTGCAGAGAGGGGCTGGGTGGGGATCAGTTTCCAAGGGGTGGCAGAGGAGTCTGCTAGGGCCAAGTCAGTCAGGGAGGGAGCAGGACCAGTGGCCTTGATTCCTGGAATACTCTCTGCCCTCCTCCTCCGCCCTGACTGCCCCCACAAGACCCAAACTGTGCATCTCAATCCCAGAATGTGAGGAATGTGCCACAGCCTGATAGGCATGGAGCAATCTGTGGACAGGCAGGAGGAGGGCTGCTTCCTGGGCAGAGCTGGACAGTGCAAGGACTATCAGGCCTGCTGGCTGGGTGGCCCCTCCCACCCTCCTTGGCCTCCTGCTACAGACGGGATATCAAAAGCTTCATTGTGCATTGAGCAGCCTAGGTCCCTAGTGTGCCAGGGAGGAGGCGGTAGGAGGGACACCGTTGGGAGGCTCCCAAAGCTCCCTGGCTGGTGTTCCCTGGGGCCCTGGCCCGGGAGGATGGTGCACACATGGGTGGCTGTTTCTGCATCCCCAGGGAGCGGAGTCTGCCCTGGAGCTCAGGTGAGTTTCCTGGGGGGCTCTGACTTGTGACTTGGCCATACTGGTTGGTACAGTGAAAACCCAGGGAGCTGCTGGGTCGGGGAAGTTGCTCTTCTAAAGGTGGGGAGATGGTTGTGCTCTCTGGTGCCTCTCTTACCTCCCTCGGTCGTATTTGTCTTTCTGCCTTTGTAAAAACGGAGTGAAGCCCGAGAAGCATCTACTTTCCTGAAGAACGAGGCTTTGAGCTCACTCTGCTGAGGGGGAGTGGGGGCTGCTCTTGGCTGCCACTCCTAGGGTGTGACTAAGCCCTTCCTTCCTTTCCTCCCAAGATTCCCTAGGACAGGAAGAAGGTTCCGGCAGTGAGTTCCTCTGCACTCTATGGGTGGTCATAAATTTGGCCTCTGTCATTCAACCTTGTTTTCCTCAAGATTGTGCTGCTGAAAAACAGGCATTTTCCTGCCTCCTACCTGTTACAGTGGTATCAGGCACATCCAGCTGAGATCAAAGAGTTGTTGCTCTAAGAAGCTGTCTAGTCAACTGAGACTTGACACAGGGTGACCAGCCATCCTGGTTTAGCCTGGTACTGAGTGCTTTCTTTGGATGCAGTCAGTGCTAAAACCCGGGAGGTCCAGGAGATCCAAACAACACATTTGGCACAAAAGGCTATGACATATTTTGCTTCTCCAGATTTCTAGGATTTACCAACTTCCCTGAAATCCTATTGTGCTTGCACCCGTGGGGGCAGGCAGAGCACGTCCTTCTCATGGTCACCCCAGCACTTCTCCCAGAATATAAACTTGACCAGTCCAAGAAGGACTGCTGGTCTAGAAGCCAGGGCTCATGTTCTAGATCTGACTTATTCTACCACCACTTAGGTGGGTGTCAGTGCGGTTGATCACCTTGTCTTTGAGGGCAAAGTCACTGAGTTTGATCTTTGTTTTTTTACTTGCCTTAAGAAATTAACTTCTCTGTGCTATAGTTTGCACAGCTGTAGATTTTGTGAAATGGTTATGCTTTCCTAGTGGTGTAAAGTTTACATGTGAAATATTGGGAACAGCCCAGCCCATGGTTAATTAAATATAATAAATATTAGACCTTGTTATTTACATTTCTTTTTTAAAAAAATTTTATTTTTCTTCATCTTTTTTTTTCTTTATTGGTACCACAGATTGAACACAGGGGCACTCAGCCACTGAGCCACCTCCCTAGCCCTATTTTGTATTTTATTTAGAGACAGGGTCTCACTGAACTGCATACTTAGCGCTTCGCTGTTGCTGAGGCTGGCTTTGAAATCATGATCCTCCTGCCTCAGCCTCCAGAGCTGCTGGGATTACAGGTGTGCACCATGGTGCCCGGCTGTTAGTTACATTTCTATGACCCTGGCATATTGCATTCTCTCTCAGGGCTTCATTTGGTCATCTGTAAAATTGGGGGGTTGTGAACTGCCTGAGGAGTTCTGCTTCTGCTGCCTGAGCCCAGCTTCAGGCACAGCCACTCTGCTTCTGCAGGACAAAGGTCTCACGTAGAACAGAGCTCTGCAGTGCAAAACAAAGAAGCAACATGGGAGAGGGTGGCCTTGAAAGTCCATGACACTCTCCACTTGTTTTGTTCCGTCACCTGTTTTTTGCCATTGACAACTGGTTGGCCTCTGGATTCTCTTATTTCACCAAGTCGGCTTACTAGTTATTTTTCTCTAAGTCTTTCATTCCCTGAGGTTCTATACTCTTCTCCACATGTGACAGGTTCTTCTCTAGGGGTGGAGATAATGGGTGTTGTAGGCCTGAGGCCAGCTGATATAAAATCCCCATTCTAGCTTCCCTTATATATGCTAGAGAAAGGAGGCAAAGTCTGAGACACATCTTGGAATGACTTTGAAGTGGTATGACCTTGGGCAAGTCTCCTACCTCCTTTGAACCTACCTCATGTTTTCCTGGCTGTATACTGGATCTAGTGATAGTATCTATCACATGGAACTGCTGGAGGAATTCAATTAGGCAATTCATCTTGCAGACGTGACATGAGGTCAGTTTTGGGTAATCCCAGTAACGGCAGGCTGTATTACTGTTAGCTAACATGAACCACTCCCACATCCCTTCTTCCTAATTCCTGACTCCACTGGAGCAGGAGTCCATACTCATCGTTCCTTGGCTGCTTTTGCCATTTTGTTCATTTAAGTGGGAGTGAGCAGTGAGGACCAAACTGTGTCCTCGGGGGTGAGGGAGGCAGGAGAGGAGTACTGGACCTCTGGCTGGCTGGGCTGTGGTGTGGTGCTGTTGGATGTTAGCTATGACGGTTCTGGGCATGCTGCATTCTTTTGTGTGAGCTCTTCCCGAGGCATCTATTCCTGTGGTGTTTATTTGTTTGCTCTCAGAAATCTCCCAGTTGCACATGGTGAGAGGGTGGGTCATGGGTCAATCGCCAGCCATCACCTCTACTTCCTCCACCCTTTGAGTTTCTTACTGTTGCTTAGTAAACTAAAATTGCTCACGTCAGATCACAGTCATGTCAGAGTTCGTTGGTCTGAAAGCATCCAGCCTTTCTCCCTTATCTTCAGTACCCCTTCTCCCTTATCGTCAACACCCTTTTGAAGAAATTTGGCTGAAATTCTTAAATAGAAGATGTGGGAGAGATATATGTGCCTGCATTGATCACTAGTATTTGTAACTTTCCTTTCAACCTTTCTGGTAAACATGAATCATCAATATAACAATAATGAAATCACAAATGCTGACATTGGTAAATGGCACATCGCCTTCAAATTCTACAAGAATTGTGAAGCATTTTGAACACTGTAATAGTTTAGAGTGTTAGAATAATAAGCCCTTCCCCCTACAGATTTCTACTTTTTGCCATGGTGGCCTCAGAATTTCTTTATTTCTTTCCCTTACTTTCTGAAGAAATAAAACATTACAGATACCATTAGGGTCCCCTGCAGAACTCTTTCCAATCTCATTCCTCTCTCTCACTAAAGTTAATCACTTTCATGAGTCCTGTGGTTTTTGTGCTCTTACTACATATTCATGCCCCCGAGAGCGTTGCAAAGAATTACTTTGCAGACTTTTAAACTAAAACAAAATGATATCATTATGCAACTTGCTTTCTTCCCCCACCAACATAATCATCTGAGATGTATCCATATGGCTAGATGTAGCTGTAGTTCTAATTTGATATTTGTTCTAGCAAAGAGAATGTAGGTTTACATCATAAAAAGTGCTGATGGTAGGCCTGTTGGGTCAAAGAAGAAGAAAACATGTGGGTGGAGGAACAAAGCATGCCGGGAAATGTCGGCTGTGTTTCGTTTTCTTTTTAAGTTGGGCGTGGTGGTGGTGGGTAGGAGCAGAGAAGAGTCAAGAGGAGAAAGTGGAGTGAATTCTCATTTTCAACATGTTCCTGTCCTTGAGGGGTCTGCCTGATCCGAGATCTTAGGCTTCAGAGTTCTGAGGTTGTATAATGTGTGAAAATAGCAGCGTCTGAACCAAGTGATTTGGATGACCTCTGACTTTTTGATAACTTGCTGAATGACCTTGGTCAAAGCACCACTCCTCTCTGGGGCCTCAGTTTCTGGACAAATTAAGAGTGAAACTACAGGATTTATTTCATTTTCTTCCCACTTTCATTTTCTGTGTGTATTGCCTTCTCTTTACCTTTACTTCTCACATTCCAGAGGTCATGATGCCTTCTCTCTCTCTCTCTCTCTCTCTCTCTCTCTCTCTCTCTTAAATTTAAAACAGTGCCAGGTGTTGTGTTATATGCCCATAATCCCAGTGGCTGGAGGCTAATGCAGGAGGATTTTAAGTTCCAGGCTAGCCTCAGCAACTTAGACCCTGTCTCAAAATAACACACAAAAAGGGCTGGGGAACTGTGGATAAGTGGTAAAGCCCCCTTGGTTCAATCCCAGGTAACAAAAAAAAAAAAAAAAAAAGAAAGAAAGAAAGAAAGAAAGAAAGAAAAACAAATAACAAAAACAGTATCATTTACTCTATCCCCTCACTTCTCACTGCCAAGGTGGCAGCTCACACACCCCTGGGTTTCCCTAGCAGCGTTTTAGTGGGCCTCTCTGCTCCTGATGCTTGCCTCTTCCTGTTCTTCCTAACCCACCCCAATAGAGTGCTACTTTTATTATGCCACTCTTATGCTCAAGGATGTTTCATAGCCCCCAGTTGCATACTGTATCTGTTCTAAACAAGTCTCCTGCCATAAAGTGACCCCATCTTGACCTGCCATACTTACCCAAGACCCTTGGTTACCAGTTACCTCCCCCATATTTACAGGCTCAGCTGCTACCATCTCATGTGCCTATGAAGTCCGCTCAGGCCTGCCCTGCTGATCTCTTTACTGGTGATCTTTCTTTCTCTCTTCATATATAGATCTTCCAAGAAAATAAAAGCCAAGCAATAAATTGGGGAATAATATTTACAAAACATGTATCTGATACTTATGTCCAGAACATATGTTTAAAAAAACCTCTTAAATCTCAAAAGTGAGAAGACAACCTATAAAAATGCAAAATGTTTCTACATACACTTTTATGTGGAAAATAAAGTGATGACAAATAAGCCCACTTAAAAATACTTACTATAATTAGTTATTAGGGAAACACAAATTGAAAAAACAAAATAAAATTACATACTTACTGGAATGGTTAAAATTAGAAAGATTGACAATATCAACTTTTGACGAGGTATAGAGCAACTGGAAATCTTGTACATTGCTGATAGGAATACAAAATAATATAGTCACTTAAGAAACCAAGTTAGGTAGTTATAAAACAGATCCCACTGTTTTTTTTGATCAAATTAAAAAAATCTAATTTGTTATATATGACAGCAGAATGCATCTCAATTCATATTATACATATATTCCACAATTTTTCATATCTCTGGTTGTACACAATGTAGAGTCACACCATTCGTGTCTTCATACATGTACTTAGAGTAATGATGTCCATCTCATTCCATTGCCTTTCCCACTGGTTTTGTTTATAATTGAGTATTAACAACTTTTTCTGATCAATGTTAATATAAATGAAACCAACTTACATGAAAAATAATTTGTTGATTCATAAATGAAAAAGTACAGTGATTTTGCTTTCCTTCAAGTATGGTTTGATCAAGATATTCAAGTGATGTTAATCAGGAAACTCTTTCTTAAGCTCTGTTTGAGTCTGGATAGCCTCAACCTCATCAGGCTTTGTCCCACCATTTCAGGTGGTCATAGTCATAGTTTTCAGGTGCCATGAAAAGAAATTTCATGTCTAAGAGTGTTGCAGGTTCTAGGACTAATTCTCATGGCTTAACTTTGGTCACAAGCACAGTATAACCTGATTGGCTTAGGCTTGAATCACATGCATACTTTTAGGTAGTCAGAGCCACAGGAGCTTTATGAAGGGTTCACATGGGTCACCCGGCTAATGATGAAGCCAGGTGATCTATGGTTTGAGTCCAGGGCTGTTGGATTGCCCCTTGTTCCTGGACATTTCTCTTCCTGCCTTCAGTGTTAGAAAACAAATGCATGTCCACTACAGAGTATTTGGTAAGCAGACAAAAGTTGAGTGAAGATAATAAAAAATAAATAAATAATACAAATGATTCAGTAATAACCTCCATAAGCCTTTTGGTTTATTTTCTTTCAATTGTTAAAAACTTACATATTTTTTCTAAGGTACTTCATTCTGTGTGGTAGTTTTTTCGTTGTTTTGAATTGTCTCTGGTTCTTTTTCAAAGCCAAGCGCAAGTCCTAAAATTCCTTCATATTGAAATACAACTCCACTTGTAAAGAGCTCTGTAAACTGTAAATCCCTGTGCAACAATTATTCATTCTGCTTTAGAACTCACTCTAGTCATTCAGTGACCTTATTGTTTGTCAAGGAGTTATCCTTCTGCTTCACTGATCCCAAGACCCATGGGTCCCAGTTGCCTTGAAGATTCTCACACTTTAGGGAATTTTTGAAATAGTCAAGGTGCTAATAAAATTCCACATGTCCAGACTCCTCTCCTAGATATTTCCAGGTAGAGTAGGTGGAGGAGAGCGCCAAGGATATCTTTAAATTTAGCTTTTTACTAACCTTTGTCATGTATATAGAATTGTGTATGAAATCATGTGTATAGCACGTGAATTTTAATGAGATATATAAACTCATCTATATTGTTTTGTATGGTTGCAATTAATTCAATCTCATTTAAGTACTAGATTTAATTATATGTAGCATCATTTACTTATTCATTCTAGTGTACATGGATATTTGAGTTGTTGCCAGGGTTTGGCCCTTGTGAATAGTGCTGTTCTGAATATTTTAGTAGATGCTTTTGGTGAACATATGTATGTATTCTTTTGGGTATACAGGTAGGAGTAAAATTGCTGAGTCTTACTATATTCAAATTTTCAACTCCAATTTCAAACTCCAATTCAGTTTGCTAAAGAGAAAAATTTCAGAGTTTATCCTCATAGTTGTAGTACACAGGAGTCCCGATGGCTCTGTATTCTTACCAATGCTTGCCTTTATCCAGCCTTTTTATTCTAGCTGGTCTGCACAGTGGTTTTCCATTGTAATTTTGATTTATACTTTCCTAATGGAATTGAGCACATTTGCATACATTTATCCACTGCTTGGCTATCACCTTTGATGAAATGCCCATTTATGTCTCTTGTCCATTTTTTCTAGCAGGTTGCCTACCATTTCTTAAAGATTTTTAGCATTCTTTTTATACTCTAGATTTGAATTCTTTAATGACAAAACATATTGTTAATATTTTCTTTTACTCTGCTATGTGCTTATCACTCTCTTAATAGCATGTTTTGATTAATAGAATTTCTAAAGTTTAGTGTATTACAGTTTATCAATTATTTCTTTTGAGGGTAACACATTTACCATACTGCTTAGGAGGACTGCCATCTTCAAGTCCTACAGTTAGCCAAATATATTTTCTTTGTGTTTATTTTATACAGGCATCTTTTGAAAAACAAGTACCTAAATCATTCTGATGCATATAATCCAGTTTTGCAAAACTTCAATTTTATGCTCCAAACCTCACACATCTTTTAGAAGTTGTGCTCCCTCTGCCTACACCAGTGTTACTACCATGGATTTCCCCTTTTGAAGTTGAACTCACTTTGCAGGCCCTTGGCATCAGGCCATTGTCTCCTCCCTTGGAATTCTACAAGAAGGCAATATCATGCCTGCTGGGGAGTCAATGAATAATTGGATAGTGAGGTCCTGGTGGCTGGAGAACAAATGTCCTGTGGAGGAACATCAATAATTTGGTGCTTGCTGATTGCCACAGGAGGAAGAGGGCCCTAGGCTACAGATCTATGTTTCGATGCAAACCCAAGCATCTGGATTGTGTACAATATTCTGATTTACAAATGTTAAGCAATACAAACTAAAAAAATTAATGTGGGGAAGGCAGGGGAGACAAAAGGGAATGAAGGGAAGTGGCGGGGGATGGGAAAAGGAAAGACAGTGGAATGAATCTGACATAACTTTCCTGTGCACTTATATGGACATACTACAGTGAATCTCACCATCGTGTACATGCACAAGAAATTAATTTAGAAAAAAAAAACATGGATAAATGGCAGAAAGATCAGTAGAGGGAAGGGAATAGGGGATGAGGGAAGGAAGGGGAAGGAGAGGTACTGGAGGCTGAATTAGAACAAGATATATTCCATGCTTTTATAATTCTGTCAAAATGGATTCTACTGTCATGTATAACTGAAAAGAACCAATAAATAAATCTTAAAAAGTTGACATAGAAAGCAGCAAAAGCAAAGTCAGTAATTTAAAACTAAGACTCTGAAATTTTTGGCCAAATGTTAATTAAAACAAACAAACAAACAAAAAAGACATTTGTGGGTTTGCTCTAGACTGTGGTCAGACTTTGCCCTAGGGTAGGCACATAGTGAGCCACTTCAGGTGTCATCCTGGGATCGGTGGCAGAAGCCTCAGCTGGGAACACTTAGCAATGCAGAACCTCTGCTTTCAGTTCCTGAAGCGGAATCTGCATTCATCAGTATCCCAGGTGAAGCACCAATTCTGTCTTGTGGTTTCCCACCCTGGTTCAAATTAAAACCATTTTGGGGAAAGAACAAACAAACAAAAAGCAACTTTATAGCCAAACTACAGACCACAATAATCAGAGTCTCTGAATATGAGGCCTAGGCTTTGGTATCTTTAGAAAGCAACCTAGGTGATTCAGACAGGCAATCACCGTTTGGAAGCACTAATTTAGCAGGTCTTCAGTTATAAATGGGGAAATTGAAAATCTCAAAAAGTAGACAGGTGAAATGTCTTTCCCTTGGTCATTTAGCTAGTGTAGGAGAAGATCTGATTTGTCTTCATTCTCGTATCGCCTGATTCCCAAGGCAGCGTTTTCTTGCTTCAGTAGCTTCTGGTTCCCGTGGGGGGGGGGCAGAACTACAAAGTGATCCTGTTTGACTGTAGCTCATTACTGCCAGCTTCCAGCTAAGCTGCTTAGCTGTCAGCATTGACAGCTAATAAGATCTACTGGATGAAAAGCTGCGAGCTGATGGGCTCCTCCTTCTGCCTATTCAAGCTGCAATACATTTTATTCTCTCTGTACATCACCCCAAATGGCAAACTCCTCCCACTCTGAGGAAGGGAAGGACCTCTGCTTGGTTATCAAAATCCCCCTTCACAGGTACAGAACGGAGATGAAGTCTCTTGGCAGCATTAACTGGCAGTGAGTGTGACTGCTCCATCCCTCTTATACTCTTGGGTTGGGTCATTAGCAGCACAGGTCCAGAGTGCAAGACCTTCTGGGCCTGCTTGTCTCTGACCCCAAATTTTACAGGAACCTTGGAGGATAAAATGACTGACACACACACAGTTGTTGAGTCAATATTTTTAACCCTTACTTCCAGGACCAGGTTATGCTCACAGTATTCTGACCCTTTGGTATAGTCCTCTAGCAGGTTCCTGGTCAAAAGGACTGAAGAGTCCAGTGTCCAAATTTAATGCCTTAAAGACTTGAGTTCGCTTGTTGTAATTTTGTGATACTATGAAGGAGGTATTTCGCATTCTCTAGTGAAACTCCCTTCTGTTCTTTAATATCTTCTTCCTCCTACTTTACAACTGTACTCTTCCCTTTTTGACTTCCTGCTATCAGAATAGCACCTTTCACCCGCCCTAGCCTGGTTTTCTTTATTCTCCTTCTCATTCTGCCTTTACAGCTTCAAAGATAGAAACTTTTCTCAGAGCCGGAGGATAGAAGTCCAAGATAGGACCCTATTTAGTGATCAGAGGAAAGTATTGTCTGGTGACAATGACACATTTCAGGGACACTATGACCATGCCCAGGTGATCTTTCTAATGGTGCCATTCTTGCTCACTCTCCTCAAACCTTCCCATTACCTACCCATTGACCTTGCTATAGTCAGATCCACAATAATCCGTGTAAACTCTATGCATATTGAGCACCTTTGGTGTATTAAACCCTAGAATTTTGTTTGATCCATGGATGTGAATCTGCTTCACTAACAACATGGGGGACACCCAGCTGCTGCAGGATTGAGATAGCATGCATGACAGTTCTTTGATAACTACTGGCTTGGTAGCAATGATGATAGCAATGAGAATTCTCCCATGCCACCAGTGTTGGGGGGCGGGGAAATTGGTACTTGACCAAAACTTTCAGTCCATGCTTACAACTTGCTTATAACTTGCTTACCTTCTACCAACAATTTTTCATTTTATGTTCTCCAGGTAAAGAAAGTCCTTCCAAGGATCCAATCATATCAAGTGAGGGTTTATCTTCATCTGAACATAAGGAAAACTGTTTCCTGCCACAGAACGTGACACCAGGTATCTAAATCCCAAAGATAAAGTGCTATTTTTAAAAATATCTTCCACATAGAACATTTCAGTTACCTTCTGCAGACTGCCCCCTCCCACCCTTTCCAGGTGCTGTCACCAAACGCATCTTTGTAAACAAGACCTTCTGATATCCACACCTTCATTATTCTCCATTGCTCGAACTTAACCTTTCCCAGGCTGGTACTCAAAGCTCTTCACAATCTGGCACAGGTTAGGAACTCCATACATATTTTCTGGGTTAGAGAAAGTATATGATCAATCAGATTTTCAGTTACTTGGGGGAGCCAGGTGAATTTTAAAAAATAATTATGCAGTCAACATGATATCCCAAAGAGTTGTTTGCACATACTTGGGGCTCAGAAAATGTTTGATAAATACATCAATCATTAGGTGAACATATGGAAGGCACATTTATATTCTATTAAACCTAACACAGGACCTTAGATGTAGAAGTTTCTGGATAAATATTTGTTAAATAAATGAATAAATGAGTGAAGGATTGAACATGTAGGATGAGACTGGATGAGCAAAAGGCCATCTGTATGAATCTTTGAGAAGCAGAAAAATATTTGGAAATCAGCGTGGGGAAGATTTTTATTTTCCACATGTGCCTTGCAGAGGCCCTCTTTAAGAGACTTCAGTGAAGTCCACAAAGCCAAGGTTGCCATGAGAGAAAGCTACACCTGTGCTGAATCCTGTGTCAGAAATGCTGAGGACAATCCTCTAGAAGACGTGATTACTGTTTTACAGTGGCAGGGACCATTTTCGAAGGCAAATCTCAAGTCAGGCAATCCTTTATATGTTTCTCTCATCGTCACGTGCTCACCAGTAAGTGGAGGCCCCCAAATCTCTACTTAACAGGTGGAAAACAGACTCTTAGAGAGGAAAATAACTTCATTGCCATAGAGTTAATATGTGATGAGGAAGGGGATTCGAACCCTTGTCCTCGTTTGTAACCCCCGTGTACCACTAAAGATAGGCTTTAATATAGTTTCTAATTACCCTCTGAAAATATTCTTTTCCCTGGGATACAAAATACAAATTTGTGGGAAAGTTACATTATGAGCCATGGAAATAGATATTGTATAATTATCATACCATATTTTTTCTATTCTGTTTCGAAATCTGTCAAACTGCTTGGTTGATAATGAGACAAATCTTGCCTTTTGTTTTTTGCTAGTGTGTCAATCTGCTTATCATCTGTCAGCTTGGACCATCCTGGGGGGGCAGGGGAGGACCTGAATTACCATCTGTTGTTTTGTGAATGCAGTAGAGTCAGCATTTTGCCTTATTAGTGCATTAAATCAGTGAATGGAGGGTATCTTTAGGTAAACCAAACAAACTGCAGGCTCAACTTGTCTGGCTTTCAGTGTTTTTCATCATGATGCTGTTTCCAGGAAGGTCATGGTATATGGAGGGAAGACCTGGCACTAGCTGTCAACCTTTCCTTTACGCGAAGCAATCGCAGACAGAGCCAATCAGACACATTATCATAATTACAGCACTGGCTTCCAGAAGGACAATATGGCACAATACACTTACACTAATACTGGAGTGAACTTGGTTTACTCCACCCCTCTGGTGATGCACAGGGTATTATGGGTTCCCACCCACACAAGTATTCTGCTGTGAGTATCAGTTCCCAGTGCTTGAGAGGGCAAAAGCAATTTGCTTATTTGAATCCAGATCTTTTACATTTTATGTATGTGGCTTCACAGGTTATGGCAAGGAGATTCACACTAAAGGGGCCAACAGTCAGTGGGGACTAGTCCCGGAAAGATTCTAAGGAGTTTGAATCAGGTTTTGGAAAACAGGAGAGATGGAGTTTGGTAGGAAGGAATCACAGAATGAGTTATTGTTGAATGAAGGCAGCCATGAGCAGTAATTGCTGGAATACTGGGGAGGGGAGCAGGAGCAACAGCTAATTCTTAATGTGTTTAATTGAACCTTTAATAAATACCAGGCACTGAGTAGGAAGGTTTATATGCATATCTCATTTAATAAACCTTAAAAAACCCCTGTAGGAAAGGTTCCATCAAAGCTATTTTTCTAAGGGGAAAAGTTCAAGATGGCAGAGTCAAACCTTGAGCCCAAGTCTGTGTTACTCCTCCCTGGGTTTCATCTTTGTGCTTTACCTTTTGCTTGAGGTCAGCATGAACTGAGGCTTCTGAGTGGAGCCTTGGCAAGTAACCAGAGATGGAAGGGTTGGGTAAGAATGGAAAAGACTGGATGGAGTATAGACAAGTATGCTCTCATCTACATGTAGATCATATCAAAGCCAGGTTGAGTGTGTTTCATGAGAACTGATCTGTAGCCACAGCAGCGTCAGGGTTTTGGGGTTAAAATCAGGACTTTTAAAGGTGAGGGGAGTTCAGTCTGTCCTGTGGACCCAGGCCAGTATGATAAGGGCCATCTCTAATGCACCAGAAATTTGGAAAGGCCCTGGCAAGTTGGGACTAAAAGAGAGACTTCCACCATAATCCAGTCCAATGTATTCTGTTTATTGTGTTGCATAATTGTTAATAAGATTGCTACTTATTGTCTAACTGAGGCACATTTGAAAGGACAATTAGTGTGTGACATGATCCCCCTCAGTGAGGCCTTTGCTGACAACACTATCCAAAGGCATACCTCTCCTCCAACTGTTGTATCACTGTTTCTTGACTCTATTAAATTTCTTTCACGTAACTTTTCTCCACCTGAAATGAATGTGTTTATGGAATCAATTACCTCCCAAGTAGAATTCATATTCTCTGAGAATAGAGAACATGTCTACACTTTCTTTTCTGCTATATCCTGAGCACCTAAGACAGTTTCTGGCTCCTAGGAGGGTCTCAATAGGTATTTGTTAAATGAATGTGCATTCTGAAAGAAATTGAGGATAGACCTTAGTATGTTTTCCTGACATCAATAAATGTAGCATCAGAAAGAAACAGGTAAGGGCTGTGTGTTGCTCAGTGATAGAGCCCATGAGGTTCTAGCCCCAACACCACCAATACCACCAACACCACCAAAACAAATAACTGGTCAGAGAAATACATATATGTATGTATCATATGTAAAGTACATGTCTATTACTATAACTGACTTATAAATACATTTCATTAAATATGGATAGAATAGAATTCATTCAAAACTTTCACAAATCACCCACAGGAAGCAATATATGTCCTAGCTGGCTCATGTCATCACCAAAAGAGAAATGACCAACGTGAGTGCATCAGCTGGACACTCCAGTGTAAAACAGTGTTTGGAGGATCTTTAAGACCACTCTAATCTGTAATTAAGGAGGACACCCATTTAGGATTTGGGTTTTCTGATTATTTCTTCTTTTATTGCATGTCCAGCCTGATCCATCTCTCTCTGTTCTTCAGATCTGACACTCTCCTTCTGTGTGAGGAGCCGCTCCAGGAAGTGTGTAAACGGACCTTTGCAGGAATCTGCCCGGAGGCGGCTCTGGGCGCTGGAGAACGAGGACCAGGATGTTCGTGCCTTGTTTAAGGTGAGCATGCAACAGGTAAATTCTGAGCGCCTGGCTTCTGTCCTGCGGGATCCTTAGCACCCAGAATAGAGCCTGGAACAAAGTAGGCCCTCAAGAAAACATCTGTCAAAGTGAATGAACGATCAGGTCCACATTCTCTGAGTGAATATGTACAATTTTCTGCTTAATGGGAATGAGTAGAAATTCTGAATGAGGCAACTAGAAGTTGCTGAGTTCGAGAAAATTAGGTTTCAAATCTGCTACTATTTGCTGTATGAGCCTCAGCAAGTTACTCTGCAGAATGGAAATCATAACACCCACCTCATAAGTATATATACATTTTTCTAATGTGGTAAATTTGAATTTTATTTTTGTTACTGTGATATGAAATATTCCATTGCTCTCATTTTAATTCACTTATAACATTTGATACACTCACAACCTGTTCATCTCCAGAAATGTATTATCCCAAACTGAAACTCTTATACCATTAAACCCTAACTCTCCACTGTCACCTTCTCCCCAGGCCCTGCAATCTACTGAGTACATATATTTAAAGTAACAAAATTGCCAATCAAAACCCAATAACTATAAGTATTAAGAGGGGAGGAGGAAAATGCCATAAAGTAAATAAACAACTTCATTTTTTATAATGGGTAGAAAATATCTTCAGATGTTAAACCAAGGGGGAAAGATATGACTAAATTAGCTGCAGTTTGATGGATACTAATTAGGAGAACTAAACTTTGAAATGGATAAAATTTGTTGCAACTAGTGGTGAGGGAAGGACAACATTGCTTTACACAATAAACTAATATATTTCATTCATTCATTTATTTTTGGTACTGGGACCAAAGCCAGGGGTGCTTTATCACTGAGCTATATCCGTAAACCCTTATAATTTTTAACTTTGAGACAGGTCTCACCTGTTTATTTTTAGAGTCTGCATTAATTTGGTACAAAATGAAAGGATAAAAGTGCTCTGACCTGCAGCAAGATAGTTTCTGGTCTTTCGGGAGGAGAACATTAGATAGTAACTGTAGAGAGCTGGGTACTGTGATTGTGTGGAAGTATATACATAAAAAGAGTATATATTTTAAAGTATATACTTTATATACCACAAAAAGTAGTTCAAATTTTATTTTATTATTTTAAATCCTGGAATTCAGGAACTTGGAGACACTGGCTGCTGATTGATCCGTTCAATTTCCTTTTAACTTGAGTCCCATTGATTGGGCAGGAGCAGGGTTTCCTTTAGAGAGCTGGCCTGCTGGGCCAAGGCTTGAGCTGGAAAAGGTTGGGGGCCAAAGCTGAGCCTTGAGCCAACTAGATCTGAGATCCAATCAGAGCTCTGCAGCCTACCCACTGCAGGTGACCTTGGGCAGATGATTTTACCTCTCTGAACCCCAGTCTCCTTGTACTTAAAATATAGGATAATGCCATTTTTAATTAGATCCAATATATCATGGATTATCACATGCATTATTCTTTTCTGTGCCTTTAAGAGAATAATAAAATAAAATATAAAATGGTTAAATATTATAAAAGCATATCTTAGAATGGTTTAAATGCAACTGCACCCTCTTTGTAGGGTTATTGTGGGAATTAAATGAGGTATTACTCATAAAGCTATTGCTGAAGTAGCTGGTATCTAGTAAATTTTCTGCAAATCAATTTTTTACTTTTAACCCCTTCCCCGATTATAGAATCAATATCCTCCAAGGATCTGGGGCCTCCTGGGAATTGGCATGGATGAAACACAGAGCCTAACTTTGCTGAGCTAGGGGCTCTTCTTTTGAATCCTTCTATTTCTTCCTTTTTCCAGTCAGGTTCCCTGAGGATGGGGGTCAAGGAGTTGGTTTTGATGGCAGGACTTGGCTTGGAAAAGAGATGTTTTGAGACCATTACTAGTTATAGTCAACTACAGAGGTTTGGGAAAACAACAGAGAACAATTTATGGAAAATTCTTCATACCAAAAAAAAGTATGAACAGTGATTTAGGCCTTTTTTGATATTAAAAAACAAGAGGCTCATGGACCTCCTTTTAAAAAATATTCTTTTTATTTGTTCTAATTAGTTGTAGGCAATAGAATGCATTTTGACACATCATACATAGAGTATAACTTTTCATTCTTCTGGTTGTTCATGATGTAGAGTAATACAGATCATGTAATTATATATACACATAGGGTCATAATGTCTGATTTATTCTACTATAATTCCTACCCCCATTCCCCCTCCCCTCCCTTCACTCCCCTCTGTCTAGTCCAAAATACCTCTATCCCCCCACCTTGTGAATTAACATCCGCATATCAGAGAAAACATTCTGCCTTTGGTTCTTTGGGATTGGCTTATTTTGCTTCACATAATATTCTCCAGTTTCATAGACCTCCTCTTGCTCTGCTTGTGAGCATGATGTAAACTGAAACAGTCTTTCTAGAGGGCAGCCGAGCGCCTGCATTTTGGAATAGAAACTGTGCATATCCTTGCATTCCAATTGCATTCTGAAATTATTTGTTTCAGAAAAATCAAGGATGTGCACAAATATTTGCTATAAGGATAGTCATCCCAGGATCATTTCTGATATTGAAAAAATGAACTATGATCCAAATGTGAAAACGTAAGGAACCAGGTACAGTGGCACACGCCTGTAATCCTAGGAACTCAGGAGGGTGATGCAGGAGGATCGGGAGTTCAAAGCTAGCCTTAGCAAAAGCAAGGTGCTAAGCAACTCAGTGAGACCCTGTCTCTAAATAAAATACAAAATAGGGGCTGGGGATGTGACTCAGTGATCAAGTGCCCCTGAGTTCAATTCCCAGTAGAAAAAAAAAAAAACCAAAACAGACAAACAAAAAACCCTATAAGGAAATGATAAGAATTAATTGCATTAATACAACAATGGCATATGTAACCATTAAACATTATGCAGACTACTTAATAATATGAAGGATGTTTTACAACATATCATTTAGCAAAAGAAAAATATTGCAAAAATAATTTAAGTACTATGATTCTCTTTATATAAAATAATTATATGGCAACTCATGTGTAGGAAAAATGATTCATTAGTACAAGAAAGTGTTAACATTTATGATATTTAGGAGAAGAGATTATGAATAATTTTTACTTTTGGGTGCTTTGGTTTTTCTGTTTGTCAGCTTTATAAAAATAATTGTTTGACATAGGTACGAAATTAAATTTGCTTCCAAGCTTCCTTCTATGATTCACCCTCTTCTCCCACATAAACTTTTTCCCCCCTTACACAAAAGGTGGTATTCTCTGCACATGGTTCTATACCTGGGTCTCTTTGTTGCAGCTGTTGTTCCATTTATATATAGAGCCTATATCAGTACACGAAGAACTTCTTCATTCTTTTCTAAGACTACACAATGTCATGATATTCCACTCGGATGAATCATATTCCATTTCAACCAGACTTCTTTTGATTAATATTTAGCTGTTCCTGTTAGGTGTGTGTGTGTGGTGTGTGTTGTAAACTTCCACACCACAGTCAGGAACTTCATGCAGTCTTGGTTCCACAAGTTAGCTTGTCAACAGAGCACCTCTGTCACACCAGGCTAATTCATTACTCTCTTTATTCAGGAACTTTCAGCAAGGTTGGTGAGTATCCAGTCCCAGAAGGCCCAGTTCATCCTCACCTTCAAGACCATGGAAGAAATCTGGAAATTCTCCACCTACCTGAATTTAGGTATGACATGACAGGCAGGTGGAGGAGGACCACTGTATAGTTCAGACAGTCTTTAGAGCTTGATATTAAGGAATGGGTTTATCTCTGATAATTTAAAGTGTTAGAGCTCCAAAGAGGATGGTTAACTTTTCAAATAGCACAAACTGCCTGAAACCAAATCTAAAGCAAATACTATTACTCTAAAATGTCAAATGAAGAAGAAATTCACTTCCTTATATCCAGGGAGAGATTTCTTTATTAGATATCAATCAATTGATAAGTAATTTGGACATCTGTCAAACTGAAAGTACTGAGATAGATGAAGTTTGTTTGTTTTTTTTTTTAATGGAAAACTGCTCTTGAGTAAGACCAAATATGTGCTCAAAATATTAAAATTCTAGATGCTTACCCTATGTATTTGGAAAAGATCAAAGAGATGAGGGAATTACTTACTAAAGTGGCCTCAGCAGCAGAGCATTCTAAAAGGTAAGGGAAGATATTAGGGCACTGTGGCAGAACCACTGCAGTGGGTAATGGCTCATCTGTCTTCTCCGGGGAGAAAAGCCCAATTGATTTCAGAGCCAAGCCAAACCTTACAAAAAGTCCTCTGATTTGATGAACATTGGATGTATCCCAGAAAATGCTGGGTTCCCACGGACATACACAGGGAGAAAAATGGTACAGGGCTGGAGGGTCACAATGACCCATGACTAGAGGTGTAACTTTTCTTACAGTTGTGGTGATTTTCTGTTCTCTCCTAACTGTGTCCAAACTGTGCTCTATGGGCCAGCTGCATCTGTCTCGCATATGACCCGTAGAAAAGTAGAATCTCAGGCTCCACCCTAGACCTACCGAGTCAGGGTCTGTGCTTTAATAAGATCCCCAGGTGTGCACTTTCAAGTTCAAGAAGTATGATTATTGAGTACACAGGCCTACATCAGTATGACGGGCAGCCAGGATGGAAATAGGTTTTTGTAAGAAAGGAAGAAAAAAACCAAGCAAAATGTTAATACAAATAATTCATGTTTGGGGACATGTCAAAGAATTGTATATCATTTTTTTCATATTTTACATAGCTTTTAGTCTGCTTTTCACAAAGCAGAGCTTGCTGAGCATTGGATAAGGGGCAGGGTTAGAATAGGGAGAATGAAGTCAATCCTGACTTTTGTGAACCATGGAGAAACTTCTCAATCTCTACATCATCTGGGCCACAGGAATTTGAACCTTAGGTCAGGAGAATGTGAAGGGGAGACCAGGAACCCTCAGAGTCAACCTGGTAAACTTGGAGACCTCTGTGGTTGTATTAGAGAAAGGTAAATGGGTTTGGTCATCTCAGTGCATTTACAGAGACCCACAGTATGCTGAAATAGTAAATATCACTTTAAACATGACTCATATTTCCCAACAGATGCTGAGAAGAATCAATTCATTCTAGAAAGTTTCTAACTGGCCTATTTTGCTGTTCTATTCTACTTCCACTTATGTGGCAGGTTGGGGATGGGGCCTTGGGTGATGCTCAGGATGGAGCTCACTCACTTTCTTTTGCAGCTAAGCACAGAACTTATCCAGTTCAGGAACCTTGTTGGCTTGACTTCCAGGCTATGTGTCCACTTGTTTGGAACACCTTCTCTTTGACCACAAGTACTGGCTCAACTGCAGGTTGGTGGAGGACACAGAGATCCAAGTGTCTATCGATGATGAACACCTGGAAACCATGTACCTGAGTCTCCTGGTACAGGAAGGTGAGGCCGGCATAGGTGGGGGATGGGCCCCCTTTCATATTTTTAATGGGAGTCGCTGAAATAATTAGGATACCAAGGGAGACAAAAATCATTCAAACATGGGAATACTCACAAATGAACCTACTGTTATACCTGTACATCTAATATTCCTTTCAGTTCAACACTGACATTACATCAACAGCCTTGTTGGTCAATCTCACTGATTGATATTAGGCAGCCCTGGGGAGTTTTAAAAAGATGCCCATACCATGGTTCCACCTTGGCCAATTTTAAATTCCTGGAGATGGGGCCCCAGTCATTGGCAATTTTTTTCTTTTTAACTTCTCATGTAATTCTAATGGTATCTAAGATTGAGAAACACTTATCAAAACATATGATAAAATTTGATTGCAAAATCAAATTGCAAATCTTGAAAAACCTGAAGTATTTAGTGAAATTAAGCAAAGTGATGTTGAAGAACTCCTGAAGCAACCCATGATCTGTTTACAAATGAAGACACCATCAGATTGGCAGATGGCCAAGTCAGATGACTTAGTAAACACATTGAAAGAGCCAGATTTGCATACAATATTTTTATATAAATGATTCTCTTATGATTGCATTGCACAATTCATGCATGAAAGAAAGAATTGCATATTGCATTATTATAAAACTCAGGGTAATTACATTCAACTAAATCAACTTATTCTTTGTTGGGTCTAAGCTTTAGTGTAAAGTTGCAATTATAATTCAAATTCTATTACGTGAAGATGTATTTTTGTTAGTTTTTGTTTTATCTCTTTTTAAAGTAAGGTCCCAATTAAGCCTTCCTTATTCTTGCAGATTTCTCAGAAATGTTGGTGTCTATTTTAAGTGAATTTCCTCTCAGTGGCTTTTTTTTTTTCTTGCCACTTTTCCTGGGATCACAAAGGACCTATTATAATGTTCCCATCTCCCCTTTTCCCTGCCCATAGTCCATTTTACTCTCAGAAAGCAAAACATTTGGGTTCTCGATGGAAATTTTACCTTGAATGATAATGTTTTGTAACATCTTGCAACTCATTAGAAAGGGCTTTTTTTTTTTCTTTTTTTCATGATTACAGGCCACTTCTTCTGCAGAGCCCTGTGCTCCTTGACTCAGCCAGCTGAGAAGGAAGGCGAGTGTTTGACACTTTGCAAGAATGAGCTAATCTCCGTGAAGATCTCTGAAGGAGAATCTGAGTGGGAAGGCGTGTCCTTGGTGACTGGTCAGCGGGGCCTGGTGCCTGCCTCAGTCCTGGAGCCTCTACCTGTCCCTTTCCATCAGTGAGTACCCCCCCCCCCACACACTTCCTGAGAGATTCCCTGAGCAGATTGAGATCTGTATAGAACAGAGTAGTCTTGCTTTCAGATAATGGCTTCCACAATACTTGGAAGAGAATAAAATTGGAGTGGATTTTTATTGTTTTATTTTTTTAATAGTCAAGAGTTATACAATTTGATGAAATTGGAGACAGCTCTAAATTTCAGAAGGATCTTGTATCTAAGAGGAAATATACCCCATGGCCTCCCCTTATGCAATATTTTTCAATCTATGGACTGAAGGCCACTTGTATTGGCATGACCTGGAGATTTCAGTACAAATCAGACTCTCTGGTTCCCCTCAGACTCTCTTGGGATTGAGACCAGGAGTCAATATTTTGAAATAAACTCCCCAGTGAATGTTTTTCTCACTGAAGTTTGGGAATCCCTGCTGAAGATACTATAAATGCAAACATATAGAGTGATAACAAACACTTTCCCAGACCATGGACTCCAGGTTGTCTGGCAGAGAATCTGACAGTGAGAACGTAAAAGGATCATTTGTTAGATATTTAACTGACAAACTGCTGCAGAGCCAGAAAATACCCCAAGTCTTCTGGACCCCATTTCTTTCCACAGTGCCTGGTATAAAGTAAGTTCTCAATAAGTATTTGCTGTCATTAAAATAAGACAAATAATGATCCTCATTATCATTTTCCTTATAGATGATTCTGCTTATTGTTCTATTTTTTTTTTTTGAAATCTATGTTTGTTTGCAAACCCCATGTTTCCATTGGCAGATGGTTCCTAAAGAATTATCCAGGAAACTGTGGTCTTTCCAGGAAGAAGGATTGGACAGGCTCCTATCAGATGGGTATGACTGAATTCAAAACACAGTATTGTTAAGGAGATGATGTTGTCCTGCCTACTAATTTTATCTGCAGGTTTGGAATAGTTGTAAATTCCTGTCTTGTTTCTGCTACTGACTGGATCTGGGGAAGTCAGTTCTATCTGTATGGGTGGGTTTTCTTGCCTGTGAAATAAGAGGTCTCAAGTCAGGGCTGCAGCTATACATGCCTGCAGGGGTAGCCATGACCCAGGGATGTGTGGAGGACTTAATGGAAGGATGATAGAGATTTAAAGATGGACAGGTGGAAAAAAAAAACACCAAAAACCCTGGTGTGCATCAAATTAAGTATTTTTGAGCCGATTTGACTGATAGATGGCCTATTTCAATCACTGGGTGAAAATATTTCTAATTTTCCTTAAAATTATTTGAAATAAAACTTGAATTCAGAAAGAATATGAATGCTGGGCACATAGTAGAGAAAATATTTGTGGAATGAATAAATGAAATAAATGAATATACACATACATATATGTTCACACATGCCTGTATTAAGGTGATCTTTACTTGTTTGTGTACACACACCCCTAACTGTGAGCATACATGTGTCCATTTTAGATAATGAAGTACTTAGAGTATACCTTCCTATCATTGTCATCCCTCAATTTCCCTTCCTCACTATGGTCCCTGGCACATATCCATAGCAAAAAGTGCAATTGTACAAGTTCTAAGACCAAATGACACTTTTAAAAATAAAGAACTGGAAGGAATTTTGGAACTCAGATGTTAGAGATAATCAATAACTAACCATAAACAAGATTTTTAGCTTTCTGAGGCAATGTTGCCTTATAGTTAGGAATGAGGGTCTTCAAAATCTATTCTGGGTTCAAAGTCTGCTGCACAACTTAATACCATTGGGACCTTGACCATTCATCTGTCCTCATTATTAATAAAATGATATAATAAAACCAGCTTCAAATGTCATCAAGAGAACTAAACATGATGGCCTCTGTAAATCACATAGTACCATTTCTTATTATAGATGTCATGGTAAGTCCTGTTGTCCCACAAAGCAGGGGAATTTCTGATCTTGAAGACGTCATGGTAGAAACTTGAGGGAAATATCTGAAAATAACTGAGCCAGTGGTGTTAGAAAAGGAATAAAAGCAAACATGGAAACGGAGGCCACCGTCTCCAGGAGAGCAGGATTAGTGGGAAGTTCTAGACTCAGTATGCTACTATAAGCTTCTTGCACAATTCACTCTTAGTGCTGCTTCTACTTAGTAGTCTAGACAAAGGGGTTTGATGGTTGCCCTACCTATCTTTTAGGACTCTTGGGAAAACTCTGAGAAAATGACATAAATGTTCTTTGTAAACTGAATTGTACAACAATCATAAAGAATGATTAGATCCTAATTTGTTAGAAAATTGGGTAGTTACTGTGATCAGAAAGAGAGACTTTCAGATCCCTCTGATCATCAGCACTTTCCATTCTATCAGTGATAACAAGGCTGACCTCTACTGAGGGTTGACTAGATTCCAGGCATTGTGAGCATTGTCTCTTTGACACTAACATTTATAAGCATCAGGTGTGCTTATTATCCCCATCTCACTGTGACTGAGGGTCACAGTGGCCAAAGCAACTGGAGGATGTATAGACATATTCTGGTTTAGTGATCCTCGCACACTGGTTTGTGGATTTGTGCCACTCATGGCCAGGTGTTTACAATGGCAGTGGCAAAATCATAACAGGACAATGCTGTGAACTTTTCAATTTTTCATAAACCACAGTTATCCAGTTTTAAGGCATATCCAGTATCTGGAGACTATTTTTCTTATGCTTTTCTAAACATCTTTTTTTAAAAAATAAAACAGTGGTGGAAGTGCATCATATTTCCTCTTTTTTTTTTTTTAG